GAAATGTTTTGCAACTAGTAGTTTGCAATAGAAGCAGCAATAGAAGCAGCAACTTCAACATCATCATCATCATCATCATCATCATCATCATCATCATCATCATCATCATCATCATCATCATCAAGACCATCGACTATAATAAAGCATCTATTATTCAAAACTATGAGTTTTCAATAAATTTTCATCAACTGCTGCCACAATATGTCTTACAGGCTGAGAAGGAAAACACTTGTCTCGAGAGATTCCAGTTCCAATACCATACCGCCCCCCTCCCCCCACCCTTTTTTCCCTTAGTTTCGTCTTTTTCAATAACAATTAGAAGCCAGAAGACCAAGATCTAAAATTGTGATCGACCTTTTCTTGCTGACCTTCCTTGACAGCTGTGACCTAGTTCAGAAGCTTCACGATTTCGAGCAAAGTTAATGTTGTTGATACATAACCTTTACAATTAATTACTTTCTTAGAGTGAAGACCCAGAGATAGTGCTTCAGGAATGTCCATATTTAGCGTTGATAATTTCAATCACACAGTTTTATGGTTCTAACGATGTTGTGACGTGAGTTATTAGCAGACATATATATTCTACATGTAAATTGACATACTGTTGAAGCATTTCTCTGTTCATCTACAATCAAACTTATCCAAGACGACAACCTTCTGTCGAAGAATAACTTGGTTATCTTAGACAGGTGGTCATCTAGGACGTTATCAATATATAGAAAAACACAAGAGGAATAATGGTCGTATATTATTATACGGGAGATTGTTCCTGACAGGCGTTTGCTAGAGCAGTTTCGTCCGTATATAATTATCATGTATCTGCAATTGTACTACTCGTATTACATACACACACAGTCATAATAACCCAGACTCCTGTTGAAAAGAGCAACATTTCAATTTTTGATAATAATATGACGTTTACGCAAGAAGAAGCATTTGGATTAAAGCACCACTATGGACGTGTTACTGGAGGAGCCATGCAACGTAGACAACATCCTCCTTTCTGGCTTCGATGCCTTTTCTGCTGGCAGTTCAACGCTGTCTCATCTTTCTCTATCATCATGTGTTTTCTTGAGACTATCACCTCCCACATGCCGGCCACATTCATTGTAAATATGTGAAGACGTATGGAGAGAGAGAGAGAGAGAGAGAGAGAGAGAGAGAGAGAGAGAGAGAGAGAG